TTTTCATGAAGCTAACCAGAGACTTGAGACGGAACAGACGGTCGTACTCTTTGTGATACTCACCGTTCCTTGGAACAGGACAACACAACACACAACCAATGCAGGAATTTATTCGATATAATCATGTTGACTTGTTGAGAAGTGACAATCACTAGGAACTCCTGCAGAGTGCTCAAACAAATTCACAGTTCTCGTGAGACTCAGTAACATTGTAGTGTCTATGTTCGACATACTCGCATGGACATCATCATACTTGCTAAAAATTAAAAAATTAAAATTCATGGTTCGGCCGGAGGCCGAGTTTTCCCGCATCCGTAGGAACGCCACCACCCTCAAGGATCAAGGCACAGATGCAGCTCCTGAAGCGGTGTGCTCAAGTACAGTCATCTATCTTTAATCCAGCACTTTATAAAACCAGCACCCTCTATCTCTTAATTTGCTAAATCCTATATATAGGATTTTGGTCATATTTTTCAACTCAAAATGGGTGTGGCATGAGAATAGCAAAAAATATGTGACCAATTCTTCCTTGCTTGGTCTTAGTAGATATCGAGAGTTGAATAAGATAATTTTTTCAAACACTACCATCTCAGGCTCATCTCCTTGCCCAATATTACTAAGGCCTGTGCCCTATTTTTCGAATCCTATATATAGGATTTGAGATTTTATTGGACCTTGTTTTATCCTTAAAACTGGTAGTTTCATGACGGCATGTGCGATATGTCGTCATGAAACCACCCCGTGCCACACCTGCAATGTTCTTCTGCACATTCACTGCTTCAGTCCTTTCCATGACATCAGCTGAACAATTATGCTCAAATTTCCAATTATTGCTGAAAATGGGTATTCATCAGAAATGTTATCCTCCTATGAATCTAAAATGTAAACATTCATGCCTCAAACATATTAACAACTTCCATGAAAACCATTATGTCATTATTATTGGTCGTGATGACCAATAACAACCGCATAAAAGGCACACATTTTCAAATCCTATATATAGGATTTTCGGCCAGCAAATTAAGAGATAAACGAGCATAATTTTCAGTTACTAAATTCTCCTTTTCATGCACATTGCAGCAGTAAATCAGATTTTCTAATCCAGCACCCTCCCTAATCCAGCACCCTCCCTAATCCAGCACCCTCCCTAATCCAGCACCCTCCCTAATCCAGCACCCTTCCTAATCCAGCCGAATTCCCTTAGCACAATATTAATGGTGCCGGATTCTAGAGGGACCACCGTACCGTATTGTCCGGAGTACTAGGATAAGCGGTGTGGCGTATACTACGATAGTCAAATTCACGGCTGTAAACAGGGTAGACGTGTCCGTATTTCGTGACAGACATTCTGGGTGCGGCTTGTACTCCGGAAAATACGGTATTCGCATCGGGATTCAGCCGGACAATCTAAGCCCCACTACCAAGCTAAAGCAACGGCTGGAGATAGCTGCGTCACTGTGACCACAGCAGCAGTAGTGGTAGCAAAGGAATCGGTGTGATTGCGCCCAGTTGACCAGACTTACAGGTAATGCTTAAGAGTAGTCTCGTGTCGGCTGGACACATCCAGGCGTTTACACATCTTCTTTGTCTTCCTGTACGTCAGCGCACATGTGTACATGAGAACAAACAGGCAGGCAGGAAGGCATGCACACACACATACATACACATATGTGCACAGACATGTGCACACACACACACACACACACACACACACACACACACACACACACACACACACACACACACACACACACACACACACACACACACACACACACACACACACACACACACACACACACACACACACACACACACACACACACACACACACACACACACACACACACACACACACACACACACACACACACACACACACACACACACACACACACACACACACACACACACACACACACACACACACACACACACACACACACACACACACACACACACACACACACACACACACACACACACACACACACACACACACACACACACACACACACACACACACACACACACACACACACACACACACACACACACACACACACACACACACACACACACACACACACACACACACACACACACACACACACACACACACACACACACACACACACACACACACACACACACACACACACACACACACACACACACACACACACACACACACACACACACACACACACACACACACACACACACACACACACACACACACACACACACACACACACACACACACACACACACACACACACACACACACACACACACACATGCACGCATTCGCAGAACACATTACACGGATAAAGCTTGGAAATTACAGCACCCTCCGATACAGTCCAGGTATCCAGTATTTGTTCCAACACATCCCCTCACCCCCAAACACACACACACACACACACACACACACACACACACTTCAGCCAAACCATTCACAACCGGCAATGGGATAATTCCAGTCCATGAGCAGCTGCAGCGCTATCGGTGACACCACTTCCACTGCACGCGGCACTACACACATTTCACCAGCACATCAGTGAACATGATTGTGTTCAATGGCAACAACGGCGGACAATCCACCGTCTATTAGAACTTATGCAAATGACTCATCATAGTACATTTGCCACTCAGAAGCCAATAAAACATCACTTTTGCCACTCAGAAGTCAATAAACATCACTTTCGCCACTCAGAAGTCAATAAAATATCACTTTCGCCACTCAACTGGCTTCCATATTAGGGCTTAGATCTCAGTACACATTTCTCCCAGTTTGCCAATCAACTGTCCTCCTTTATGGCAGTATTATGATGTAATTGCACAACCTCTAGAATTGCCTGGCTATGGAGAGGAACTTACGAGCAATCGACGGTGACCATGGTCCCCTGACCTTTCACTGCCGTCGCTGCCTGGGCAAACTCCGAAAGGAGAGCGTTGATGACTTTGGCTACACGTGCACATACACAAACACACATACACACATAGTCAACATTGGCGCCCAACCTTTGCTCGGACCACAAAACGCCATCAGTCTATGTTACGCATTGGATTTTGGCATTGCTTGTTCATCCGTTCACCACAATTCAACTCCGTTCTATTATTCATCCCGTTCGCTTCGTAACGTGTGCAACTCGCTGGTAGAAGATATGTATAATTATAACTGTGCTTCCCTGATCAGTCAACGTCATTCTGAACAAGATACAAAGTTGTCAAAAATGTCTTAGTATTAAATCCGTATCATATGCATCAAGTCTCGCTCCTGTTGAGCAAGTTGACTATCTGCAGATGTCTGTCTGTCTCTGTGTTTGTCACGCACGTTCACACACACACACACACACACACACACACACACACACACACACACACGCGCACACACACACACACACACATGCTTGCATGAAGACGTACCATTCTTGCCAAAGAGGGTCAACACGTTGGTCTTCTCCTTGATAAGTTTCTTGAATGCCTTCAAGTCATCGATGCTGATCACGTCCTTCGTGCTGACGGACTTCTTGCACTCGCCCAGATGTGCCTATACACACACACACACACACACACACACACACACACACACACACAGCACCAGACGAACAAGCATAGTTTTACAAAGCTGTCGTTGCTGCAGTGTTCTTAAAGTTTACTCCCCTGTAGGCACTGGCGAGAGTACATAATTCCCAACCCTAGCAACTTAGCAAGACTGTGCAACTGCAGCTATGGGGTCTGCGACGGCAGAACTTCACACGTGACGAACCCGTACACATTGTATGCAGGGCTGTAAGCAACCCTGCTTTGGGTTCAACTCTCTTGTGGTCACTTTGCGCACCGTTTGCCAGTGTAAACATGTGAACCATGTCACGTGATGTGCAGTTCTGCGAGCGCAGCACTGTATAGAGGTTGTGCAGGCAGTTGCACACTCTGGGGGGGGGGGGGGGGGGGTATGAACTCTTGGTATTAGCAATACTAGTGCTGCCTTCTCGTATAACGGGTGAAACCTGCAATTCCCACCAAAACGTCTTTTTAGAAGATTCGTAGTTCTATTACAAACCAATTTCAGAACCTGAAATATCTGCCATGTGTCAAGTACGCAGCACTATACAGCTACACGTAGTAAGCGGCTGGGTCCTCGCTTATGAAACATACCCGCTGCCGCTCAGAGTCTCGTGAATCAATCAATTACCAGATAACATCATGTAAGTTTCGCTGCAGTTGCTTATGGCTGGCATTTTCCAACGCGACAGTAGAGTGCATGCCGCGGTGCATAATGCATAACTGCCTGTGCATAGTTCCGTCAAAGTGCTATGCTATTAAAACAGTCAAGGATGTATTCTGCCCAATTAAAATGAAGTGCAGCAAAGAACCCTCTCTGATCGTATAGCCCAAATCTCTTTTTTGATAATCCGGCGCACGTGTTCATATACGGGCATTCTCAATATCTTCCTCATAACAAAACAATGTACCGGTAGTCGCAGGCGGAATACGGAATTTTCCTCAAAAATTTCAAACATGGGGATCACAATAATTTCTGGTGAGAAGTCAAACGTTATCATTTTTACAAGTAGCCATTAGCAGCACGCAGGGTGTTCGCACTCCTACTGTGTCACCACACTCATTGGACTATTTGTAATCGCAATTAGTGTCCGGCGTTCCACTAGGCGAGGCTGCGACTATGAGAGCGTGAGTGTGGCGAGGAAGTGTGACAGAAGCAACACCATCCACAGCGAATGGTATCTTCGAGTTCCAAAAATATTTCTTCGTCAAGGTCATTTTGCAACATACGCGTTGGGAAAGGAAGGAAATCCATAATCACAGCTACCAGCTACGTATACGCCTGAGAGAAATAGTTTATTTGAGTATGTAAATTCTATTTCTACAAGTAAATTCTAGAATGTTGAATTCGACCACACACTCGTACTCACCAAACCAGCCACGAGAAACACGGCAGCAATGAGGCCCACCGAAAGGGCTTTGCTGCTAGGCATGTCTGCTACAGTCTCACTACTCTTGGTTTGCTCCCAACCAATTTCGTTGAAGACAAAAACACACAATGGCAAAAAGCCTCAGACAACTCGACAACACATGAACAAACAAGAAAATGAGTAGATTTCTACAGACAGTACATGCAGTGCGTGCATACCGGTTGTTGAGTTTTGACTTTTGAGTTTGACCTTCATCTTTTGTAGTCAAAAGATCGATCTATACTACGAGTACTGTTCTCGCCCAACTCATCTCCTGGCTTCATTCACGGCAACGTGTCAATCTGGTCGTCGTCGCCGTGGCACGGCGCAGCGCAGCCGCGAGGCGACGCCATTCTTCACCTTGACGACGCAGGTGTGTCGGGGGTATGTCATCGTACAAGCTTGCGAGCTTTTTGCCGACTTGATCATCCATGACAAAAGCACGAAAACTCCTCACCACACATGCAACCCACATGTTCAACCTACACGGCTACACTGCACTGCCGTGCTGAGTGATTTGTTTTTCTTTGTTCGCAGTGCCAGTGGCTCCTGTTTTTTTGGATTGGAGCTAGCTGCGTCGTTTGTTTTTTATTGGCATTGGTTTGGAATCTCTCTCTCCCTAGCATTTGCTATGAAGATAGACGTGCATTGCCACATTCTGCCTGAAAGATGGCCAGACCTGAAGGAACGCTATGGCTACGGTGGATGGATTCAGCTGCAGCACCACTGCCAGGGTCAGGCCAAGATGATGCGCGACGGCAAGCTGTTTCGCGTGATCGACGCCAACTGCTGGGACGCCGAGACGCGCCTTGCCGAGATGGACGCCACTGGCGTGGACGTTCAGGTCCTATCCACCGTTCCAGTGATGTTCAGCTACTGGGCGAAGCCTGAGGATACGCTGGATTTGTGCAGAATTGTCAACGACGATTTGGCGAGTACGGTGAAAAAGCACCCGTCGCGATTCGCCGCTCTGGGCACGCTGCCCATGCAGGCACCGGAGCTGGCCGTGCAGGAGCTGAGACGCTGCGTGACCGAGCTGGGATTCCCGGGCGTGCAGATCGGCTCGCACATCGGCGACTGGAACTTGGACGCGCCGGAGCTGCGGCCGTTCTTCGCGGCCGCAGAGGAGCTCGGCGCGGCGCTGTTCGTGCACCCGTGGGACATGCAGCTGGACGGGCGCATGTCCAAGTACTGGTTGCCATGGCTGGTCGGCATGCCGGCCGAGACGGCCACGGCCATGTGCAGCATGATGTTTGGCGGCGTGCTGGAGCAGTTCCCCAAGCTGCGGGTCTGCTTTGCGCACGGCGGCGGCTCGTTTCCGTTCACCATCGGGCGCATCGAGCACGGCTTCAACGTGCGGCCGGACCTGTGCGCCACGAACAACCCGCACACGCCGCGCAAGTACCTCGGCCAGGTCTACACCGACTCGCTGGTGCACGACCCCAGCGCGCTCGCCTTCCTCGTGCAGACGATGGGCGAGAGTCGCGTGTGCCTCGGCACCGACTACCCGTTCCCGCTGGGCGAACACCACCCAGGCAAGCTGATCGAGTCAATGTCGGACATGAGCGGCGAGCTCAAAGACAAGCTGCTCTCCGGCAACGCTGTGGAGTTTCTCAACCTCGACCCCAGCAAGTACCAACGACACGAAGCGTCTAAAGAACCCGCAGCAGCGGCAGAAGCAACAGTGGCCGCCACATCAGCAGCAGTGGAACCGCAAGCCAAAGTTGCGCGTGCCAGCTAATTGGGCCACGCTCGCTGCACCAATACCAGTTCTTGCGGCATGCATGTCCCAAATAGGTCATGCTTCCATGTGTCCTAACAGTAATAGAGCCCGCCGTTGTCATCGGCCATTTGAATAGTCACCGAGATGCCAATGGCGTGGTCACCACGGTTACTGAGCTGCATGTACCAACAGCCTAGTAACCATAGTTGCTGAGTTTGTTAGATCGCCTAACCTTTGTAGTCTGTAGAAATCTCCAACCTTGAGCTCTTCAGCTTGCTCATATTTTCGTCAAAGCTTTTTTTTTTTTTTTTTCAAAGGATCCCGTCCTGTTCCAACCTTGGCTCTGTGTCTAGATTGTTCCGTGTGTGCTTGTCACGGCGGTGGAGTCGCGATCTGTGCCGTGTGCTGAAGTCAGCGGCCTTCCCGCACGCAACCGCCACCAGCATTTGTCTGCCGTTTGATATGTTCAGTGCCTCGTCCGCCTTCTGTGATTCACTATCAGCCTCTTGAAGACATTCACTGTTGTGTATGCTCAGACCTTGAAGTCAGTCGTTTTCGGTTCTGCTTGTGGCACTCTTCATTTTGCTATCAATCCTGTTTTTTTCTTTCTTTTCAGTTTTAGTACCAGGTGTAATTATTTTAATTTACTGTGATTACACACATTACCTAACCCTCGAGTTCTGCTCCATGACATCCAGTTATATTCGGAATTTTTTAATATAATATTGCTTCATGAAACACATGCGCTCTTCTATTCTTCATCAACAGTAGCTCATTTTTGTCGTTTTATCGCTGTCTGCTCTTTCTATTGAAGTGTGTGCGTGCGTACGTGTGTGCGTGTGCTTCTGTTGGCTTCCTTCGCGCGCAGTTTTGTTTGAAATTGTGAGTGCCGATCGTTAGGGTGCACTATCCTATGTGTGTGATGGTCAGTCGGTCTGTTCAGGGTGTCAGCATGCGCGTGGTGCAAATCCCTGGTTTCGTGCTGCACTGGGTTATGTGGTGTCCATGTTGTCAGAAGGCCTTCCCTATGCTTGGCGGTATCACCATTGATTTACATTGATGTCTTATTTGAAGGATTCTCCTAAATCAAATGGGTGCCTATCAAAAGGAGTCGAAAGCATCGGTGACGCCCCTTACTTGCAATGGAGCATCTCTTGGTTTGTTTTCTTGTGTCGGTTTTGGTGTCCATGAGAGAGAGAGTGACGTATTCCTTTGTCTTAGTGCAGTGGTACTGTCAGTCTGTGTGAGTCATCACTAGTAATCATGGTATTACTGTCTATAACCAGATCTGGGCGACTGCTCATTGTTGCAGCTGTCAGCAATTGTTGGCGCCTTCCCTTGTCCAGCGGTGACCATGGTGACATGCATTCGAAAGCTGAATCAGTGAATGTGCTTGCATGCATGCATATCTGGATTATTGGCATGTAATATTGCTAGACTCAGGCTGGCATGTACAATGACTATGTACATGTCATGACTGCATTTCTGTCAACAAGCCGGATAGCTTATTACAATAGTTACTCTTGCTGACATGCAGACGATGATGCTGTGCCCATGCTTGCATGATCTGAGCATTGGACTTGCATCAGAGAGTAGTAAAATGCCATAATTTTACTACTAGATGGCTTGCAGTATGCCTGGGCTGTATAGCCTACTATAGGTCATAGATCATGCATTGCATCCATGCCAGAATTATTTAATGGCAGCATTAATTTTGACTCTTGAGCCAGTCGAGGTGTGACAATAATATGAGGCATCACAACTGCTGTTGCTTGCCACTACGTAGTCCATATTACCAGGGAGCCCTACACACATACAATCATGTACATGTATGTGTATGGCTCCCTGGTCTATACAAAACATAGATCTACGGCATGATGGAGGATGTAGCCGCTAGGGAAGCAGTTTTGGATTGGTTCGGCCATATCAAAGATACATGTTCATAATAGTACGGTTGATAAATATGGTGGTAAAGACACACCTGGCAATATGGCGGTAAACACACGCCTGCCCACACACGCTCTCTAAGCTGCAAAGTTCTGGCACAGAGCTCTACTTCTCACCACCACCACCATCAGTTCGCGCCTGGCGCCTCGTCGAGTACTATAGTATAGATTATCGGATGCACATACTTCAAAGTAGTTATTATAATAATAATTTACATGTACCCCCAATCTCCAAACATTATAGTAAACAGGCGTTGGTGGGCAAAAAGTTGCGGACCAATCCGAGCGTTTCCACTGGGCTTGCCATTCTCACAACCTCTCTAGTGATTGCCATTCTCACAACCTCTCTAGTGATTGCCATTCTCACAACCTCTCTAGTATTGCCATTCTCACAACCTCTCTAGTATTGCCATTCTCACAACCTCTCTAGTATTGCCATTCTCACAACCTCTCTAGTATTGCCATTCTCACAACCTCTCTAGTATTGCCATTCTCACAACCTCTCTAGTATTGCCATTCTCACAACCTCTCTAGTATTGCCATTCTCACAACCTCTTTAGTATTGCCATTCTCACAACCTCTCTAGTATTTCCATTCTCACAACCTCTCTAGTATTTCCATTCTCACAACCTCTCTAGTATTGCCATTCTCACAACCTCTCTAGTATTGCCATTCTCACAACCTCTCTAGTATTGCCATTCTCACAACCTCTCTAGTATTGCCATTCTCACAACCTCTCTAGTATTGCCATTCTCACAACCTCTCTAGTATTGCAGGCGCGTGCTCGGCGGGGGGCACGGGGGGCACGTGCACCCCCCCCCAAAATTTTCAATCTGGGTTTTGAAAAAAATAATACTGCACCTCGGATGTGACACGTACACATGCAAACGGCCTTCATGTACACGTACACGTGCAGCGCGAACAATAATTTTACATGTAGATCTACACTGTGCACAGCATAAACATTACCTTGCGACAGTCGGATTCATTCCCGGTTTCGATTTCTTGCTTTCAGGTCTCTGGATTCTTTGATTTCTTTCCTGAAGTATGGGTATCTGACTATGACTGAGCTGCTCTTTTCATAATGTCAAATCGACCGCCGTCATTGAAGTCATTGCGCAAAGCTTCCACGCTGCCGCAGCTAACTCTAAGTGAAGCGTTCGGTCGTTCTGCAACTGTTGCTGCTGGAGCTGTTGCTGCAGCGAAAAAATCTGATATTTCCTCGAGTGGCGATGAGGGTTCTTCAAGAGGTGAAGAGTCAGACGAAGTGGTAGTAGTTGAAGAGGTCGCAGGAGAAGTAGCCCAGGCTGCCGGGTCTACCGCGTTGGATAAACCCGACGAGGTTGATGTAGTCGCTTCAGGCGGCACTCCAAACGACATTGGAGAAGGCTACAACCTTGCATCACAAAAGTGGACCTGTTTGCCGTCATCGTTGTCCTCTGATGAGAAGTGTCGCTTGGTCGACCACCACTTTGTGCCAGGGCCGAAACACGACTTTCCTGTCCACACAGGAAATGATGGCAGAAACCGTCGTTTTCGTCACCAGTGGCTAGAGGACAACTCGTGGCTGGTCTATTCACCCAAATGCGACGGGGGTTTCTGTCTTCCGTGCCTCCTATTTCCCAGTGGTGCGGATCAGGGACAGCTCACAGCAAGACCTATGTGCAACTTCAAAAAGGCCACCACTTTGCTGGACAAACACGGCTCACAGGCAACCCACAAAGACGCCGTTGCCAGGCAGGGCCAGTTCAAAAAGGTCGTGTCTGCTGGGATCCAAGGCAATTGTAATGTATGCGAATATGCTCTAAAATTCAAGAAAGGTTGCAAACAAATTGCAGAAAATTGCCGGGGGGGGGGGCTCCCCTCGGCTCCCGTGCACCCCCCTGGTTGGGGGGCCGAGCACGCCCCTGTATTGCCATTCTCACAACCTCTCTAGCATTGCAGTGTACAGAACATAAAGACAGATATTGCTGCTGGGGGGTTATGTGTGTGTGTGTGTGTGTGGGGGGGGGGGGGTTATGTGTGTGTGGGGGGAGGGGGTTATGTGTGTGTGTGGGGGGGGGGGTTTATGTGTGGGAAGAGGCGTGACCAAGG